ATATATATATATCACCTTTTGAATTGTTGAAGATTCTTTAAGAAACATACAAGCATCATGCATGTGGTGCTCTCTGCAGCTGATTTAAGCAGATGGGTATTTGACGAAGTCAAGCAGAGGTTCACACTTCACATCCATTGTTCACTTTTACTAATGGAGTTAGATGTTGCTAATTGACATGGTCATTGTAAAATTTACAATTGAGGTTGGACATAGTCAATATTGTAATAACAAATAATTTTAAAAAAAATGAAGCCCGCCTGAGCCATGACTCACATAGCCACAAGGCTTAGCCATAAAAAAAAATAATTTTTTCCAAATCGTAGGTCCCACCGCTAGTCGAACCCAGCTTGCTGGATTCAAGGTCCAAAGTGCCAACCACCACACACCAAGCTGATCTACCCTTCTTGGTGCTTGTACCGTTATTTATTTGAGTTTCTTGTTTTATTTATATTAAATTGTAAAATAAAAATAATAAAAATGTAAAAAAAATTCAAATATCAAGATATTTTTTTTGTTATTAACTTTTTAATATTTAAAAATTACGTTAAGTTTTATTAATTGTTATAAATAAAAGATTCTTAAATTTATTTTTTTATTTATAAAATTTTAATTTAAAATTTTATTTAAAAAAATTAATTTTCTTTAACTCAATTTAATAAATAGTTAATCCATATATCAAGATATGATATCTTATTTAATAATTTAAAATTATATAATATTTTTTTATTTATTTAAAAATAAAATGTAGCAAGATATCTAGTTAAAAAGAGGTGGCCTGGTATGGCTGGCTCAGCGCAGCTTGAAGCCGCCTCCGATGTGGGATAAAATGGCCTGGTCCAGTCAAAGCCACAAGCTTTGACCAGGAATTTTATTTCCACAGTCAAAGTTGCTTTTAGCTTCTCAGAAGAAGCATGGAGAGGAGACCTTTAAGCCTCAGCCCTCCCTCCCCACATGAACTCGAACCATTTCCCTCTTCTCCTCCTTCCTCCTCAATACAATCCTCTATAAATCCCCCACACCGACGTCTTCTTCTCAACCCAATTCATGGCCTCCTATTCTTCTTCTTCTTCTTCTTTGAATCCTTCTTCTTCTTTTATGAACATGGACAACTTCAACTCAGACAGAAGCAATTCATTCACATGGGGACTTTCTGACCAATTAACTGATGATAAATTTGGCATTGAATTTCCAAAGTTCAGGTCTTTTGCTCCCTCCTCACTACCCATCTCCCCATCCCCTGTTTCACCTTCTTCTTATCTTGTTACAACCCCTCCTGCTTTCAGCCCTTCTATTTTCCTCGACTCCCCTGCGTTTTTCTCTACTTCAAATGTGAGTTTCTAACCCTGAAATCTATTATATATGTTCAGCAGCAACCATAGATTTTTAATTTCTGATTATATCAATTCTTTTGTGTTTCAACAGGTACTTCCTTCTCCAACTACTGGGGCTATTGCTGCTCAAAATAATCTACAAGACACCAAGAGGGAACAGAGTAATTACATTGATTTCTCCTTTCAGCCTCATCCCAGGCCTTCTGAAACTTCAGTATCATCCACCTTTCAATCTTCTTCAAACATTGTTTCTGTGGTATGACTTCTATTCATCTTTTTTAGTTACTTTGTTTTGCATCTCTTGTTTTCTTTTGGGATTGTTTCAAAATTTGTTGCAAATTTAGGGTATTATATTGTTTGATATAATATCTTATGCATCTTTTTCTGTTATTATTTTTTGGGGTAAAATCTTTGTCTGTTTATTTGGGGGAAACAATTATTTTATTATATTTCTCTAGTTTTCTTTCATAATATGGTAGCTAGACTTTTGGTCCAATTAGCATCATAAGTACCTATAAATTGCGTCATTTGTAAGTATTGGTGAGAAGCTAATTTGACATTAATTCAACAGAAAATATCCTAAAAGATTAAACTTTCTGATCCATAGAAGAGAGAATTCTTGGATTTAAGTCTAATTTTGCAATAATACCATGATAAGCAGGAACAACCAACATGGAATTTGAGTAAATCCATGAAGCAACCTGATTTTGTACCACAAAAGACAGAAAAATCAGAGTTCGGACAAATTCAAAGCTTCTCCACAGAGATGGCTCCACTGCAATCAAATATTCAGGGTGAAAGAGGCTCTCAATCTGCTTACCCCCAATACAATCAACCTTCTCAGTATATGAGGGAGAATAGAAAAGTAGATGATGGATACAACTGGAGAAAGTATGGACAGAAACAGGTGAAAGGAAGTGAAAATCCGCGGAGTTATTACAAGTGTACTTATCCAAATTGCCCTACAAAGAAGAAGGTGGAGAGATCTTTGGATGGAGAGATAACAGAAATAGTTTATAAAGGCAATCACAACCATCCCAAGCCTCAGTCTACAAGAAGATCTTCCTCTCATTCTCTGGCCACCAACTCGGAGATGTCAGATCAGTCAGTTGGTACATTAGGCAATGATACAACTGACTCCTTCATAATGCAAGATGAAACTTCAGGTTCAACAGGAGATGATGTTTTCGAGCAAGGATCACCACTGAGTAATCCAGATGGAGAGAATGAAAACGAAACTGATGCCAAAAGATGGTAAGATTTAAAGTTTGAATTGAAGAATCAAAATCCTTAGATGACGTGTCTACTGTGTTTTTAATCAGGTCAATTTCTGTATTTTTCAGGAAGGGTGACAATGAAAATGAAGGAATCATAGGTTCTGGAAGCAGAACAGTTAGGGAGCCTAGAATCGTGGTTCAAACAACAAGTGACATTGATATACTTGATGATGGGTACAGATGGAGGAAATATGGGCAGAAAGTAGTCAAGGGAAATCCCAATCCAAGGTAATTTCGGAGTTTGCAATTAGGCCCTTGAAGTTGCTTGTAGTAGAAGTAATTTGGATTAACTAAAGTTCATGTTTTGCCGTTTTCGTTCACTCTGCAGGAGCTACTACAAATGTACCACGGTTGGCTGTCCAGTGAGGAAGCATGTTGAGCGAGCATCCCATGACCTGAGAGCTGTGATCACCACATACGAAGGGAAACACAACCACGATGTTCCTGCAGCTCGTGGCAGCGGATACTCTATGAGTAGACCTTCCTCCAGTACTAGCAGCAGTACCAGTATGCCAATCCCTATAAGGCCCTCTGCTGTTGCCACTCAGCCTACCAGCACAAGTTTCCCAAACTCTTTTAGGCCGAGCCTACCAGCGCCAGGAAGTCAAGCTCAAGCATTGACTACCCTGGAAATGCTGCAGGGCCCAAGTGAGCTCGGATACTCGGGATATGGGAAGCCATTTGGCTCATTCATGAACCAAGCACAATTCTCAGATTTAACATTCCCCAGAGCGAAAGAAGAGTCTAAGGACGAATCATTTCTCGACTCATTTCTTTCCTAAAAAACAACTAACTTCAAGAATACATACTAGTTTGTTCTGTAGGTCTTGCCACTGAGATACAGTCAGCGTTAGTGAAATTTGTTCATTTGTTTTGAGGCCTTGTCTAAAGTCAGACACACTAAGCCTCACAAGATAATGTACTTTACTTCATCCTTCCAAGATAACATATCATGTAAGTTTCTTTTTCTTATAAATATGACAACTTTACAACAAAGATTACAGTTCACAGGACAAATGAAGCCACCACAAGTTGTTAAATGCATAAAAGAATCACCCAAAAAAAAAAAAACTACTGAAAAGGGGACTTAAATGTAAGGTTGAGATGAAAGTTTATATATCCTGAGACCAATGCTGATAATCCCAAAGCGAAAAATGCAAAGAAAGCATGCTGATGGCGGCCGCAGAGGAATCTGTGAGTATGTTATCTTGCCCTTCCCTCATCCTGTTCGTCAAGGGAACTGCTGCGGATGCTGCAGAAATCAACAGATATGACATCATCTGACAAATGAGGGAAAAGGAAATGAATTTTTGGTGAAGCTGGAAACTTTCAAACCAAATGTGTGTATTCCTAGTTTGACTGACATGGTGACAATCTGAAACGGACAATTTAGAAATCCATGTGGGACAATTGACATGTGAGCCGAAAAATAAGAGAAGCATCCAACCACAATCAATGCATTGAGTTGTGGATCTTATATTTAACCTTCATATTGTTTTCTTCTTAATTTTCCAACGTGAGATCTTCTATTTAACACAAGTCCTCTATATGTTGAGTACGGAAGTGGGGGCAGACCAACGACCATTCTTATGATTAAATCTACCCTTTTCTTGTCGTTTCTCACCAACCAAATAGAAAATAATAAATTTGTGAAAGTTAATGAAAAAGGCCAAAAAAAACCAACCGGAATCTCCGAAGAAGTCCAGCATGGCAGATGTCCGGCGTTCGTATATCATTTTCCCTGTCCAGATTTCATGAATTTGTTTGAACACTTATCCTTCTGTATACAGACTGGACAGAATTGCAAATGCCAGCAGGTACCTAAAAACCCCACAATTTTTTTTTTTAACGAACTTTAACAAAATCTAGATGAAATCAGAATGAAATTTTCAATGTTTCGATTGAATTTTCAGGCCTATTGATTGTTACTCGCAATTATTATAAAAGAAAGCAGAGAGAAGAGCAGAGCCAATCCCGTTAAAACAATGGATCCTTTCTTCATTAAGTCTTCCCTATTCCACTTCCGTACGATGTCCGACATGATGGAAGTTACATGAAGTAACTTAGGTGGCAGTAGCAGTATATCAGTGCCATCAAGCTGCCCAAGTTCAGTTTGGTTAAACTGAAACTAACCAAACTGTTTTGTGTCCTTTTCTAGTCATATTTTTAGTTGGAGCCATGTGATGATGTGTATTATTTTTTATGATAAAATATTGTTGTAAAAGAGCTCCTTAGCTTGTATTTTTTGAATTTCAAAATTTAAACTCTTGATGTACAAATGCTGGAAAAACTGAAATGGAAACTGGATTTCAACTCTTCAACTTCTCTCTCCATTTCTTTGAGAAATAACCAAACATGGTATCAGAGCCATGAGTTCTTGAGGGATTGTGAGAGATTTGAGTGAAACCCAAATACACCAAACACCTTAAACCTTATTGCAATGGAATCAAATATCAGCTTCACCACAAAGACCCCTGTTTTTGTTGGCCAAAACTACATAGTTTGGGCGGCAGTGAAGATGAAAGCATATCTAAGGGCTTTCGAACTTTGGGAAGTGGTTGAGACAGATCGGCAATCAGCTCCTCTTCCTCCAAATGCTACTCTTGCTTAAATTATGAGACACTCAGAGGAGGTGGCAAAGAGATACAAAGCCTTGACCTGCCTTCACTCAGCAGTGATTGATGAAATTTTCAACAGAATCATGACTTGTGAGACAGCCAAAGAGGCCTGGGACAAGCTAAAAGTGGAGTTCCAAGGTGATAACAAGGTAAGAGAAATGGAGGTTCTCAATCTGAAAAGAGAGTTCGCACTCATTAGAATGAAGGATACAGAGACAGTGAAGGAGTTCTCCGACCGACTGATGAAGGTGGTGAACAAGATAAGATTGCAAGGGGAAGAACTGTCTGATAAGGCAGTAGTTGAGAAGGTTTTGGTGAGTCTACTGGAGAAATTTGAGCACAAGATCTCATCCTTGGAGGATTCCAAAGATCTGTCTCAATTCTCCTTGAATGAATTAGTCAATGCTTTGCAAGCTGTGGAGCAAAGAAAGGCTTTGAGGCTTGAAAACAATGTTGAAGGAGCATATTTGGCAACTGAAAGAGATAAAGTAGTAGCCGAAGATGATGAAAACAAGCAGCTCGGTGATCAAAGAAACCAAGAAAAGGAAGGGTATCAAAACAACAAAAAGGAGAGCTATGCATCTTGCTCTCATTGTAAAAAGAAAGGCCATTCCGAGAAATATTGTTGGTTTAGGCCTGGAGTTCAATGCAGAAAGTGCAAGTAGTTTGGACATGTTGAAAAGGTCTTCAAAGAAGGTTCAGATCTGGTTCAGCAAGCCAAAATTGCAGAAATTGTTGAAGAGGAAGAGCATCTATTTATGGCTACAAAGACTGGAGATTGTAGTGCAGCCATCTTAAGCAGTGACTCTTGGTTGATTGATAGTGGTTGTACAAACCACATGACCCCAAATGCAGCCATATTCAAAAGCCTTGACAGAAAATACAATTCAAAAGTCAGACTAGGAAATGGAGAATTGATGGAGGTCAAAGGTAAGGGAGTAGCTGCTGTTGAGACACAAACAGGTATCAAATACATTCATGATGTACTGTTTGTGCCTAATATTAACTATAGATTGATAAGTGTGGGTCAGTTGATTGAACATGGTTATGTCCTTCATTTTCATGACAAAATATGTGCAGTAGAAGATGAATTTGGTTCAAAAATGTTTACTGTTAGAATAAATGAAAGGAGTTTTCCTATTCAATGGAAACAAATTGAAATTAGTCCAAAGGCTAGTGTTGTTGATGTGAGCAAAAGCGAGGAATTTGATGAAAGTGCAACTTGGAACTGGGAAAGTTCGAAATTTGTTGCTGCAGATCAAGTTCTTGTAGCAAATGATGAACCAATATTTGATTTTGGGAATGATGAATTTGAGCAAGAGAATGATGATGAATTTGATGATGTTTTTGCTATTAGAGGGACCAGAACACAAGTTGACATCTATGAAAGGTGTAACATGGTCATTGAAGAACTTGCAAATTATTTAGAAGCTACAAGATTGAAGGCCGGGAGAATTACAATGCAGGAGGAGTTTGCTATGAAGAGTTGCAAAGCTGTTAATGATTCACTGGTTCTCGGAGAAAAATTCAAAAATGAAGTTCAATTAGTTTATTGCAATTCAGAGGGGCAGATAGTTGACATTTTGTACAAAGGGTTTGCAAAAATCCAGGTTCAAGCTATTAAGAGAACAAGTTGGAATGTGCAGCCTTGATGTCAAGGAGGAGTGATGGAAGTTACATGAAGTAGCTTAGGTGGCAGTAGCAGTATATCAGTGCCATCAAGCTGCCCAAGTTCAGTTTGGTTAAACTGAAACTAACCAAACTGTTTTGTGTCTTTTTCTAGTCATATTTCTAGTTGGAGTTATGTGATGATGTGTATTATTTTTTATGATAAAATATTATTGTAAAAGAGCTCCTTAGCTTGTATTTTTTGAATTTCAAAATTTAAACTCTTGATGTACAAATGCGGGAAAAACTGAAATGGAAACTGGATTTCAGCTCTTCAATGTCTCTCTCCATTTCTTTGAGAAATAACCGAACACGATACACTGAAGCTCGGTCCGGGGCCCTGGTTTTCCAGATCGGCTGGCGGTGCTTCCCCGAGTTCGTTCTCTGTCACCTCTTTCGATTGTTTTTCGCCGTTGCCTCTTCCGCTTTCGACATCTTGAAACTCGAGATTGGAATTCGGACAGTATCGAATTGGGAAATTAAGTTAATGTGAAAGAGTATCGAATCAGGTTGAGTAATAAGTGGAGAGGAAGGAGAAAAATGCCACAGCGAACATGATTGTCAAGAATTCTCGTGGCGTGGAAAAAAAACAATTTTTTTTTTTTAGGTACGCAGAAAAAATTGCCTACCTAGTATTACAGGTTTAATTTCCTTACCTTAACCTTAATAATACGATTATAAATTATCATAACAGGTCCATTAAAAGCCAATTATCTACTTAATTCGGTAGTAATTTCTTTCTCATAAAAATAAAAGATTATGAATTTCATTTATATGATATATAAGTAAACTAAATTAAAGATAAAAGAGAATTGTTTTATATGTATACCAAAAAAAGATTTATAAATAAAAATCAAATTTATTTGTTTTAATTTATTTTGTAAATAAAATTTAATCAAATAATTTTATATATTAAATATATGACAATTAAATTTTTTTTCTTTTTATAAATAATTCTTGCATGGTATTTTTATTAAAATAAAAAAAATTTTCAATTATCATTTATTTGTTATATAAAATCATCAAACTAATTTACATAACATTGAGAGACTAAGATAGCTAAAACAAACGGAAGGAAGTATAACTAATGGGCATGAAGCATCTCAATTTTCAGCATTGGACCTGTCAACTCTTTAAATTAAGATTCATAGGCTTTGAAAATTAAGTTGAAATTACTTGTAATACTTAGCCTCATATTTATATATTACATTCACTTATAATTTTTCGTTGATATGGGATTTAGTGTGTTACACGCTGGATGATAATTAGAGGTAACGGAGGACGACTACTCATTTGAAAAGGCAAATTTCATCAAACAATTTAAGCTTTTATAAGCAAAGAAATAAATTTTACTAAATATTAGTACAAAGACCAAAAGCTATCCAGTCCCTTACAATTTAAAAGAATTTGACAAAGAACAACAGCCTTTTCAGAAAGCTATGAACACAAATTTCCCCGTCCAAAACTTAACAAGCATCGCGGTGATAAATAAACATCATCAAAATAAACTTGTAACTCATAAATCTTCTGTCCAAGCATAAGTAAATATGGTAGTAAAAAAAAAAAAAATTATCTTGATTGTACAATGAGAGGTAATTATCTTTCATTTTTTATCCCACTTCACTCAAATGTTATGTAACTTGAATTTAAGACCTCTTATTTCTAACGGAAAGGAATAACTACTGAATTACTTAGGTCGTTGATGGTAGTCAACAAATTAAGTTTGCATTTCACTAAAAAAAAAAAAAAGGTCAATTACACACATCCATTAATCTTCTATGGTTCCTTCAATGCCAGTATTAAAGATTTTGCACATTCCACTGGGCTTAAGACTAAAAGAAAATGGACTCCTGGTATTTCCCTCTCCAAGCAGCCCTCTGTGGGTTGAGTTAAAAACCTAAAATTTGTCACCTCTTGGTCTCCATCCATTACCGGAGCCTGCGAAAGATTATCCTTTCATTTTTCCTTCTAGGAGTTGACCACGATCTTAAATTTTTTTTTTAAAAAAAAAGTGTTTTTTAAGTTTGATTATGTAATAAAAGTGTAATCTCAATTATAAATTTATTAAAATATTTTTAATAAAATTTTTATCTGAATTAATTTATTAATAAAATTTTAATTATTTCAATGGTTATATGATACTTTTAATGTGTAGTTGGCATCTTTTAATATTAATTTCTTTAAAAATTTGGAATCTTTCAAGTTTCAAAAAGAGGGATGGGAATTATGGGATGTAAAATGAAAGGTTAGTGATAGTAAGTGAATATTGTAGTAGTTAATCAGCCAGTTGAGCTCACATTGTTGGAAGATGGAGCCGCCAATGAATGGTTAAAAGTTCAAAAGAATTACAAAACCAAAAATTGTTCGCACAATTTAGATTTTATCAAATTATAAAATATAAATATTTAAATTAAAAATAATCTTTTTCTTCTTTTAAAAGTTTTTATTTTGTAATTCATATTACAATTACAAAGTAGCGAGTTTATCACCAAATGTAAAGAGTTATTTTGTAGTGCTAGATAGAAGTGTAGCTTTTTCATTGTTTATAGCAGCTGCATACGTAGCAGCTTGATTTGTACATTACAGTATTCTGGATAATCCCGAAGGGGAATTAACTTAAAAGTAAGATTTAGATGAAATGAAAGTTTATATCCTGAGACCAAAGCCGATGATTCAAAAGTGAAAAATGCAAGGAAACCCATGCTGATGGCGGCGGCGGAGGAGGTTTCTGTGAAACTGTCATCTTGCAATTCTGTCAAAAAGTTCCCACGCAAGCCGCAGAGGATGCTGCCGAAATCAACGGATATGACAAAACCTGAAAAATGGGGGAAAGGGAAATGATTATTTGGTGAATTGGGAACTTTTCAAACTAAATGAGAAAAGAGAATAATTTTTTATAATATTATAAATTTATAATATAATATATATTATATATGTAAATATTTTTATTTAAAATTTTATATATAATATAATATTTATTTATTTAATCGTAATATATTATGATTTTAAGCATAGAATTCTAGGTTATAAATATAATAAGGTTAAATACCTTTTTTGGTCCCTCTAATATAGGAAAAAGTTCCTTTTTGGTCCTTATACCGAAAAAATCCCATTTTTGATCCATAAATTTTAAAATCCGGCCCTCTTTTAGTCCCTCCGTTAAAATTTTGCTGACCTGTCACGTTAATTAACGAAAACATCTCACATGGCAATTTCAGAGTGTGATATGGCAATTTCAAAGTGTGACATAGCTATTCCACAATGTTAAAATCCTTACGTGTGAAAAAAAAAAAGGTACATGGAATTTGACCTGTGTGGAAAAGATTGACGAAATTATTTCATTATTTTTTATTTAAACAATATTATAAATGATATGAAAATTACGTTGATA